CTGGTGCTTTGTGATGAACCAACAGTATATAAGTTCTGCCAACAATGTATGACTGCTTGTGCTTGGCTGTTGTTCAACCATTTCATGCAAGGTCTCCCTGACCTTGGTTTGTCACCTCCGTTGAAATGTCTGAACCAGTTTTGTGTCACACATTTGTTCAAAGTTCCTGGGTTTTCCACATCATTAATTTTTTTTGCTGCTGCTGCTCTTGCACTCAGGCTTTTTTTTACCATAGGTAGCATAAAATGATACTAACTGCAATTTTTCCACGTTTCCATCATTCAATTGAAGTTTTTAATCCTTTGATTATTCATGTCATACTACATGTTATGTAGTGCTGTACTACATGTTATTCTGACTGCCATGCTGTATGTTATCATTTCATGTTGTGCTAAATGTTATGTAATGGTGTGCTACATGTTGGCATTTCTTGACATGCTACATGTCATACTGACATGTCAATATTGACATTTGCTACATGTTATGCTGACATGACATGTTAGCATATCTTGCTACCTGTTATATCATGCTGAATGTTAACATTTCATGCCACACTACATATTATATGACATGTCATGCTGCATGTAACATTTCATATTATCCTATATGTTATAGTAATATGTCATACATGATATGCTGACATGTCATATCTTGCTAATATAAAATGTCAGATGTTATGTCATGCTGCCTGTTCTCCTATCATGCTACATGCTATTATACTAAGTTTCAGAATACTCTGTTTCTTCCTGGAATTCACTTGTCAAGATTCTTTAACTTCATTGTAACTTATTTACAACTTTTAAGAAAGAAAGCCATTATTATTTTAAATCGGCCATGTTTTCTCACTGCTGTAGACTGATGCCCCAAATTCCAATAAAAAGCAACAAATAACTAAAGTACAAATAAAATTAATTTCCGAATACCCTAATATTTAAATAAATTTAACTTAGATTTATTTTTATATACTTTCTGGTAAAACATATTTATTTCACAAACAAAATTAACTTTCATATGGTAAAATATACTTACTTTCCAAACACCCTTGTATATTTTGAACAAAATTTGAAATAGTAAGCTCATTTAATTTAGAGTTAAAACTTATGAGGAACTCAAATTCTATCTTTAAGAGTTTTCTAAATTCTCTTGAGATGTTCATGGAACCTGATACATTAATGTTTGTGCCAAAACTCTAGTGCTTTGATGTGGATCCAATTGAACAGTTTCTTCCTAAAGTTCTTCATTCAGAGTGGATTGTCTTCCAGAGAGATGTTTGTCAGATATGTCACAATCACCATTTTAAAACCTTTTAAACCACAGCTGATGTGTATGAGTCTTTACTGTGTCTATATACAATGCACAAATGTTTTCAAATGCCTTTGTAGCTGTACTGCCCTAGAATTCATACAATAAAGAATGCAAATATTTTGCTTTTTAAAGTTATAATCATCTATGACATAAATGCACTATAAATACACAATGTTATCATTTTATGCCATGTTACATGTTATGCAATGATGTCTGACATGTTAACATTTCGATTTTTGGTATACTGACATGTCATGCATACCAAAACATTTCTATTTTTGGTATGCTACATGTTAACATATCATACTACCTGTTATGTCATACCACACTACATGTTATTATTTCATGTCATCCTAGATGTTATACTGATATATCATGCATAACATATGCTATGTGATATATTAATGTGTCATATCTTGCTAACATGTCATGCTACATGCTGTTACCTACCATTCAACCTTGGTTCTGCCTTGGTTGGTTGAGTCCTAATTCAAAACAGTGAAATAGGTAATTATTTTCCAAACACCCTAATATTTTTGCTTACCAGAGAAGTAAAAATGCCTAGTTTTTAAGATATGAGACAGATTAATTCACAAGCTTAGACAGACATTCAGATACAGAACAGACATAGTTATCTCTGGACATTTTAAGTTTTAACAAATTCTCTTTGATATATAAGATACAAGGATTAAGCAAATTTATTCAAGAAACTGCATATTTATTTCTGAGAAGACAAAATTTCTTATCCTCACTAAAAAAACAGAAATTTTAGAATGTTTGTTTCTTTTTAAAAAGAAGTTTAAATTCCAACCAGCTCTCATTTAGAAACTGCTTTCTAATCCGATTTCAATTTCCCTTGCAAAATTGTTTTCCCCTCTGAACTTAGTCTGAACTTTTCTACAAAACTTTTCCTTTGTTCATCCAAACTTGAGAACCGTATAAGAATTCTGTTTACAGTCTCTCCAATAGTTAATCAGTTCTTTTAATGGGAACTTAAGACTTTGATGTATTTCCAGGAATCACTTGGCATTATCTCAAAGACATTATACATTGATGTTTTGTTACAGGTGGAGTTCAGTTGGGCTGTCACTCAAAAGGCGATCGGCTTCGGCATTGGTATGACATGCTGAGAAACCCAGACAAGAAAATAGAATACTGGCATGTTCTCTCTGCTGAGATGACCCCTGAGGTTTAACATTATACACAATTTATCTTTGCATGTGAAATGTGAGTGTCCATGTGCTTTTTGCTTTGGTTGGCAATGTCTGTTTACCTTCAACCATGTTCCAATTTTCTTTTTATTATTAATATTGTTTGATGTTTTTTTGTTTCTAAACTTTATTTTGATCTTTTTTTTTTTTAAATTCTCTATGTCCTTTTTCCTAAATATTTGGTCCCAAAAATTCCAGCTGTTTGTTTCTGATTGTTAGAAACAGCTTCTCAATGTATACGGTCAGATTAATGTCCACATCTTTGTTGCTATCATTACAATATTTTGGCCATTGTTACCTTCAACCTTTTTCTGGTGTCTGTCAATCTGAATGACCTTCAGTGAATTTTGAACTAAATCTTTTATTTAATCTATAGTGGTATCTGCTGCCCATGTCTAGGGATATCTTGTTCTTTTTAGTACTGCTCAGTTATTGCTCATTCTGTTTCTACTGAGTCTGTACTATGCAACCCAAGGATTGAACTCACAATTATTATGCTATTAGATTCATGAGCCAACACTTTAGTCTTGTTTGTTCATAAATTTTGTAGCATAGTAATTGTGAGTACAATCCCTGGCCTGAATAGTATAGACTCAGGCTCAGTGGTAACAGAACTAACAATAATTGAGCAGAAATAAATAAGAACAAAACAAGAACAATCTACCCCCATGGATTAAATAAGTAATTTTTTTTATTTATGGTATCTCTGTGATTGTCAAAGAAACACAAGTGTGCCTGTGGGTATCTGCAATAGGGCTTAGCTAATGATACTAACAGGTAAATACTTGTAAATGAACAGTTAGTTATCATTATCTTATCTCTCATATTTACACACACTCTATCTCAGATATTGATCAAGTTTATCTATAATGCTTACTCTTTCTCTCTCTCTTTCATATATGTATATGAAAATTATTTCTTAGTCAATACTGATATGTTTTGTCAATCTGACATTATCAAGGCAATTTTAAAAACGAAATGTTTTGAAGTTCAAATTCAAAATATTAAAAAGGGGACACTGCTGTGTAAGCCTCCTTCTGGATATTGGATATTTTTAACTTGCCTTGATAAAGTCGGATTGATGAAACATGTTGGCAATAACTAAAAAATATTTTTTAATTGTCTTTTTTATCCAATTTGTCTTATCTTCAGAATTATTCTGAGAAACTTAACAATATATATATATATATATATATATGAATGATAAAAAATAGCTTTAAGATATGCTGCATACACCTCCACCCATCTACTCTAGACACCAAGAATAGAGAAAGCTCCTGTTTTATGTACTTCTGAAGATTCCAACTGACAACCCCCTAAGAACCTATCTGTGTATATAAGTACAAGGAGCTTCTATTTTATGTACTTACAAACATTAGGACCAAAACAACCCCCCCCTCCTGACTAGATCTTGTAGGAGGTGCTCTTGACTTCACTTTCAAACAATTGCATATACCAATATTTTCTTTGATATTTACTTATTTCAATATATGTTGAAATCTTGATTATAACAGCAAATTTCATTGAATTTTTTTGTATCCTTCCTCTATCAACACCAGGCATTGTCAAGTTATACCACAATACAAAAAGCTAAAATACAGTCTTCAAAGACTGAGATTTGAAAAGTCTTAGTGATCATTACTTACAAGCTTTGTAGACTGTCCAAGAAATGTTATAGTCTAAGGTGAAAAACAAAGGAAGGAAAATTCAAGTTAAATCTTTCAACTCAGAAAATTTATTTCCAGCCATGGGAATAAAATGCACCATAGGGTTTTACTTTTGTTCTATTTCAAACACACACTGAGCCTTAAGCAAGTTTTTTTTGCTCCAATGCCAACTAAAATCAATGCTCTCTAACAGAAAAGAAAAGTATTATATCTGCCAAATAAATTTAAAAAATAGATCAATTTGTGAACCCTTTATATAAATAAACTTATATATATATATATATATATATATATATATATTTCATATTACTATGTCAGATTAAAAAAATCTATTAACTCTTTTTTATATAACATTGGACAATACAGACAATTTTTGCACTCCTTTATTTCCACCAAATGAAAAAAGAATGTAAAAATGCTGAAAAAACTAAATAAAAAATTAAATTTTCCTTGTCTCTCAAATTCAATGAAACATGTTTAAAAGAAAGCTTTCTGTCAAATATACATTTATATATATATATATATATATATATTACCAGGAGTAATCTAAGTTCACAATATTCTGAATTTCATGATTTCTCACTCATCAAGATGCTGATAAGAATGATTGCATTAATTATAGAAAGTCTATTTTACTATTTTATAAATGTTTATTTCTTATTTACTAACTGAACTTTTCAAATTTGATATTTTCTGCACTTACATCTACCAGTCTTTCATGTTCTCTATAATAGCTGAAAATTCAATTATTATTAAATTACATATACCTACATATATATATATATATATATATATAAAGTAGTCACTCAAAGAATAA